GACGAACTCTTGAATAATAAGGCAATGCATCAGCATTTGGTTTCCAAAACATAAGAACCAGACCGATAACTTTAACCTGTTAACCAGGCTCAATTTTAAACGAACAGATTATGTCATGCTAAAATTTTCAAAACTTAGCCTGTCCCGCTAGTTCCGATCTGTACATAGAATTATTCGATTATTTTTTTTTACTAGTGATGATCATTCAGTGAATTGAACAAATTTTTTCAAACTGAATAGAATATTTCGACATATATGATTTCTAAAACGTCACGTCAACAAAATTTTTTTTCTGATGACTTGCAGTTATAAATTTATCAACATAATATGTTTAACTTACGCATCGATGGCAATCTTTCGACCAAAATAATTCTTCATTTCTCCTTCTTTAATAGCAGTTGGTGCTTGATCAGCAATTAACTTTGCTAAATTATGAATTCCCATTTATCTGTACAATTAAATAACAACACCAGATAGAAGTCTAAAAAAAGCAAAACATAACGAAACAAACGACAAACAAAGCAGATGTATAATCGCGGAAATAAAACATTGTTATTTGCTTTCTTGTGCTTTTTTCAATATATTCAAAAACATAAATAAATAATAATAGAAGTGAAAAGAAAAAAACGAAGACAAAATAAAGAAACACAAGAACAATCATAGTCACAATAAAACAAGTATAGGAAACTAAATATATATTTCATTTCCACAAGAGAAAAAAAAACTTAACAAAGAACAAGGAAATAGCCTAATCAATGAAAAGTAAGTTTTCTATGAATCAATATGATGATATCTTAATTCCTGGTGCTCCACCTGGAGGTCCTTCATTTTTTCCAGCATATTTAACTTTTCCATGTGAAAATGGAACATATTTATATTGTATCATATGTGCTATACGTTGTCTCATAGTTAAAAAGAATAATGTAAAGAAATAGATGACAAGTACAGGCCAGAATACTGGTATATCAAATATTGGAAATAATGTTAAAAATAAACTTATAATTAATGATTTAAATGATGTATACCAAAATTTAAATTCTGGTAAACGACGCATAAATGGTCGAAATTCATCTGTTGAACGTGTTGGTAAACGTGGTACATGTTCACCTTCGTCATCATCTATATCACGTAATGATGGATCTTGTTTTGGTGTTAAAAAAAGAATAAATTGATTAAGTAAAAATATTCCAAGACCATAAGCAATGATATAATAACCTTGTACAAGAAAAATTCGAAGAAAAAATAAAGCTAATAATATTAAATTTAATAACCAACGAAGACTAGCAAATGGTGTCATACGATCAAGTAAATGTTGAGTATACATTCCAAGACGTGTAAATGAACTGGTTGCACCGGAGCCAGTTTTATCAATATTGCCCAATGAATCCATTTTTCTTATGTTTTTCTTTTTTGTGCCTATGTAAATTGTTTGTATTTGTTCTTTGTCAAAAATGATGCGTGTGGCAATGAATGATTATTAGAATATGAAACAGATAGCACCTTGGATTGGTTGAATGAAATATAAAATAATAGAGGACGCTATATGTTCGTCGTGTTTTTTTTTAAATAAAATTTTAATAAAAAAAGATTTATTTATATAAATTTTTAAATCTTTTTGAAGAAAAAAATTTTTTTTAAATATAAGATTTATTTTGAACAAAGATGGATTACGGGTTCGTATTTATTCGTTCGACATTGATGGCGACATGAAATCGTAGAGTAGCGTTAAGATTTCTTACTGCTAACTTTGTCTTCTTGTTTTTCAATGAATTTTGATTATATGAAATAAAGATGTATATCATTTTTTTAGATCATTTTTATTTATCCTATGGCATCTAAATTTGTTCATAGAAGTGAAATAAATTTTAATTTTCTTTGGTACGTATTAGTATTTTCAATGAACTCTTGTATATGTACTACTTGCATGAGTTTTGCGTGTATGTGTGTGTCATCCGCATCAAAATGAGTCTCATTCCATTATAGACTAAATCATTACCATCATTGTTCGATGGCTTCTCGTGTCATCATTAATAAATAGGTAAAAATAAATATAAAAATCTTAGATTTACGAGGGAAAAATTCACACACTCTAATTTTATATACAATATCTTCTTATATATATACGTGTATAATCTATTTGATTGATTTGCAAATTACAAAAAAAAACCATATCAATAATAATAATATTTTCATATTATTTTATATTTATTTTCTACAGGTTATGCCCAAAAGTGATCTCGGTGATGTTTGTGGACGCTATTTATCTTCGCGTCTGTCAAAACAAACAGATTCATCATTATCAAATGGTCAACAATCAATAGAGCAACATTTATTAAATCATCAATATATTGCTACTGAACATAAACGACATACAATATTAACACAAAAACTTTTCTTTAAATCATATAAAAAAAATCCATTAGATACATTACGTCAACATTATACAATTGTTCATAAAAATAATAATAATAATAATAATAACAATAATAATAGTGAAAATATAAATAATATAATCATGCCGGCTAATAATGATGTTTTATTAACTGCATTCAATAATAATACAACGAATGGTACAACTAATGGTACAAATTCAAATCATCAATATTGTTCAACATATATTTCATGTAGTAATAGTAATCATTCATCATCTCCACCTTCTGAAACATCTTCATCTTCATCGTCATCATCGTCGTCATCATCATCATCATCGTCAACATCAAATAGTACTTCATCATTAATGATGAATTGGGAATTATTAAAAGATCGTGGTTCTGGTTTAGTTAATCTTGGTAATACATG